GATATTCAGCAATGAGATAAATTTGTGAACTTAATTGTCCTACCTTATGTAGGATACCTTTGTGGAAATCAGTTGGCTGTAAATATGTGGATTTATTTCTGGGTTCTCTTTTCTGTTCTATTATTGTTTGTGTCTATTTTTACACCAATATCATGTTGTTTTGGTTACTATAGTTTTACAACATATTTTGAAGTCAGGTATTGTGATGTCTACAGCTTTGTTCCTCTTGCTTACAAATGCTTTCGATATGTGTGCTCCTTTTTGGTTCCGTACAAGTTTTAGGATTTTTTTTTCTTTCTGTGAAAAGTATCATTTTTATTTTGAGAGAGATGGCATTGAATCTGTAGATTGTTTTAGATAGTATGGCCATTTGAACAAGATGGAATTCTCTAATGTATAAACCTGGTATCTTTCCATTTGTTTACATGCTTATCAATTTCTTTCATCAGTGTTTTACACTTTTCCTTGTATAGGTCTTTCACTACTTTTGTTAAGTTCCTTTCTAGTTTTTGTTTTCTTTTGTGGTGGCTATTGTAAATTGAATTGTTTTCTTGATTTATTATTCAATGATTTCATTTTTACTATGCAGAAATTCTATTGATTTATATATATATACATATATATATACACACATACACACACACATATATATATATATATTTGTATCTAGCAACTTTACTGAATTTGTTCGTCATATTTAAGAGTTTTCTTAGTGGACTCTTTAGGTTTTTTTCCAAATAAAGATCATGTTATTGTTAGGAAGACAATTTGACATCTTTTTTATGATTTGAATATTTCTTTCTCTTGCTGATTACCCTGGTAGAACTTCTAGTACCATGCTGAATAGGGATCATCCAGGATTCCAAACTAACTGTGTAATTATTATCGCAATCATTATATCATCTCATCACAGTTATCTCCAGCATTTATTACTATTGACTGTTTTTGGCTACCCTACTTTTCTTGCAGGACTAGAGTTAAATCACAAAACCTAAAACAATGCAGGTTGCTCAGTCTAGTGGTCGCCATCTACTGACAGAGAGGTCAATTTGTGTACCTGGTGGGGGCCCAAAGAGTGACCATTTGAAGAAATGCCTACCCCCACCCCATAGAAAAACTTCAATACTGGATAGCAGCAGAAAGAACACATTCTAGTACTTTAGCACGCAAGTATTTAGCTCCCTCCTCTTAAATAGCTTACCTGATCTGGAGACACTGTCTTTACTCGCTACCAGGAGGACCACTTGGTGACTGGGAAAGCAATATCTGAGCCCTGCTGAAGCCTTGCAAAGCCTTTCAGGTAACGCAACTTAACCATGAATTACTATGTCCTCCCCGCCTCATTTCAGCAGGAGGATCAGAGTCTACTGTGGGCAAAAAGTTACATCTTGGCATCTGGATCACTCACACAAATATCAACCAATGAGAGGGAGAATAAGGAAATTGCTCATCAGAATGTCTTCCAATTTAAACAAACGGTGTGGGTGATTCACACTCACATTATCAAACACCATAGCAAAGAGTAATTCTGTTATGGTTGATACCTAATTCACTATGGATTATCAGGAAGAGAAGACAACAGGTGAGAAGTAATCCAAGAATGTCATTAAACCTGCTAGAACAACCCAAAAGCAACTAAGGACTACAACTCTTCTCTTTGTCTTAGACTGCTTTGGGATCTCAGAGACAGGCCCGTAAGCCAGCTCTAAAGAACTCAGCACTTGATTAAGAGGCCAAGGGAGACGGAACAAGTTAAAAACAAAACAAAACAAAACAGAAATACAGAGTGCCCACAAAGTTCATGTGCAATTTTAAAATGGACAACTATTATAAAAAGTCGAAAGGAAAAGTCACCCCCTCAAGAAAACATTAACTCCTTACAAATGGATACCAGCCTAAATGACAAGGTTAAAATGACAAATAAAAATGTCAAACATAGGTTGTAAGGAAACTTACTGAAATACAAAAGAAAATAGAGAACCAACACAAAGAAGCCACAAAGACAATGCAGAAAATGAATAAAAATTCCAAACAGAAATTGAAGTATTAAAGAAAAACCAAACAGAATGTTGGAAATGAAAAATGCATTTCCAGGAATTAGAAAGCTCAGTGGAAAACTTTCAGGATAGACTCAATCAAAGACCAACCAATGAGAGGGAGAATAAGGCAAAAGAAAGCACATCAAACATGTCTAATGTTTCATATGTGCAATGTCTAATCTGAGGATACAAAAGAAAGAATCTCAGTACTTGAAGTTAAACTCAAGGAAATCAAGTAGGTAGAAGGGAGGAGGAGGGTTTGGGGAAATTTACACCTAACTGACACAGGGCACTGTTCTGGATGAAGAGCACACTTATAACCTGGATTTTAATTGTGCAGAACAAATTGCATAAACAAGGTGTGTGTACCCTGAAATATTTTAAAAATTTAAAAAATAAAGAAAATTCAATCCACTGGAGGTTCTTCTAATATTTCTAATGTTTTAAAATTTTATTTCAGAGACAAAATCTTAAAGTTACTTAATAAAAACCTGGGAAGACTTGGCACTGATAACTTACATAAAAAGAAAAGAAAGAAAATTTTCTAAAGTCTTTTCTTTTCCCTTGGAAGCTTTTTCTTTTAGCCAAAGCTTAACAGCAAACTCTTACATTTACATGTGAATTTGTGGATATTTATTTAACTATTCATTAATTAAGGGTCACAATTTCCAGAATACATTCTGCAGTTTTCAAACTAATTTTTATACTCTTTTTTTTTTTTGCCGTATTTTACTAGCAAGAATCTTAATTGGCTTGAGTAATGTCTTCTAAGCCTTTATACAAGACTTAAAAAAACTTGTTGAAACCTTTTTTTTAACTTGAACACATTGGGTTCATGTAGAAATAAATAGACAATTGTTACATCATATTTATCTGTTTCTGTTAGGTAGAAACTAAAAAAAAATCTGACCTGGGTTATTTCTTATTTAAAGTAGTGCTAGATTTTTTGCGGGGGAGTTCTCTATTTTGCTTTATAGGAGTTCTATATTTTGCTTTATAAGACCCTTGAGGAAATTCCAAATAGCTTGACATAAACTTCAAAGTTTGAGAAAGCTTACCCCACTGAATTAAACATTAGACATATTTGATATGCTTATTTTATTCTCAATATTAGAAAAAAACCTGTGGTCAAATATTTAAACTGTGTCTATTGTGTGTCACAGATAAAAAGAAAGAGTTTTATATAAAACATGGAAATAAAAAAATTCAAGCTTGGATTTGCAATTTGATGGTTTTGGGAAAACTCACAGGGGCTCATTCTGGTGGTAGTCTGGTACAACTAGCAAGGTCATCATGCATTTTCCTTCATAAGTGGGTTTTGCAGTAGGCCAGAAGGAAATCCAAACCATTTTTCTCCTAGGATTCTCAACATTGCTGCCTTCACCCATACCAAGCACATGGAAATAGAAATATAACTTTTAATGTAACATGCATATATTCCTAGAAAATGTAGAGATAAAATAGAAGAACTTCTCTCACTACTTATGTTTAGGAAATCCACATTTCTAGCCTGACTCCCTCTTAAATTGTACACTTTATGTATTCACTACTCAAATCAGTTCCAGGTTACCTCAAATTTTTCAAATAAATTTATTACATTTCCTTTGAAATATTTCATTTTTACTTTCTATTTTTTGAATGTAACAAACTAAAACTTTTAAGACTTTTTTAAAATTTCAAATTAATATGAGGATACAGTGATTAGGTTACAATGTTTGCATTTGTTAGGTGAAGCCTCTGTTGTGGTTGTTTCCCACACCCTGGAGGTGTGCCATACACCCTTACTTTGTGCCCATTAGGTGGGAGCACACCAATCCCCCTCCCTCCTTCTTTCTCCCCCTTTCCCTGCCCCCACCCCCTAATTTGAATTAAATTAAGTTTTTCTCTTGTATGAGCACGTATTATTTAGTCTACTGGCTTCATATTAATGTTGAGTACATTGGATACTTGCTTTTCTGTTCTTGTGATTCTTTACTGAAGAGAATGTTCTCCAACTCTATCCAGCTTAATACAAAAGATGTAAAGTCTCCATCTTTTTCATAGCTGAATAGTATTCCATGGTGTACATATACCACAGTTTATCAGTCCTGTCATAACTTGATGGGCACTTGGGTTGTTTCCACATCTTGGAGATTATAAATTGAGTATAATAAATGATCTAGGACAAATGTCCTTCTGATAAAATAATTTTTTTTTCTTCTAGGTAGTTGGCTAATAATAAGATTGCAGGATCAAATGGGGGGTCAATTTTGAGTTCTTTGTGTATTCTCTATACATCTTTCCAGAAAGGCTATATTAGTTGGCAGTTCTACCAATAGAACATTGGATACTTGCTTTTCTATCCTTCAAGGGTCATTAAAGGCATTTTTGATATTTTTTTCCTTAAGGATACATTCTGCTACCATGTCTTGGTTTGCTTCTTTAAAAGCAAGGTGTTGATTCATCCATTCTGCCCCTTTCTCACCATAGACAATTCTGTCATCTCACAAAAGTTTATTTGAACATCCTGTAGCTGGACTAGGATTATTTCTTATTTTCTAAATGACCCTAATGGCATTACTAGATTAATTACCTTACTAGTTACTATTATACTTGCTTTGAAAAATAAATGCCATCTAATCTTTCATTCAGCATTCATAAAAGCTTTTCCTACCTTCTTTAGTGGATATTGAAACTGCATATCCTATAAATTGAAAGTATTAATTCACTTCATACACATTTTTTCACCTTCTGTATATGAATTATAGGCATGATGTACACCCAAATCATTTATGTGTCTTTCACACAAAGTGTTTATATGAACCTGGTCCCTATAGAGTCTAACCTGGTCCCTATGGAGTCTAACCAGTATTTAGTACAGTACAAAATTAGATTAGATTCTCTATATATTTGTTGAAATAATGAATAAATGTATAGAAAAGTAATCATGAAAGAATTTGAACATTATTCATTTATTTATTTTAAAATATTAAATGCTTCACAAATCTGTGTGTCATCCTTGTGCAGGCGCCATGCTAATTTTCTCTGTATTGTTCAAATTTTAGTATATGTGCTGCTGAAGCAAGTACAGAATTTGAAAACTTTAAAAGAATAAAGTTGTATGTACAATGATGACAAGGATGACTGGATAATTCAATTTACATGGGTATTTTTTTTAAAAAAGTCATGATTTTATATTGAAACTAAGTCTTGGAGAATAATATGTGTTAAGAACATTTCAGGGTATAATGTACATGTTTTATTTTATAGAGGGACACTTATACCACCTCTGAGAGTCTCTGTAACACTATACCATAGGATATGCTAGGTAGCTAACTCACAGAGTAGATCATGTATCAATAAAATGAACACACTGAGAAATGTGTTTAGGAGAATAGGCATAAGAGTAATAAAGACCTAGACTTAAATTCCAACTTCACTGTGCACTACACGTGACTTTGGTCTTGCTTGAGAGCCTTGAACCAAGGTCAGACTAAGCTGTTTGAATAAAATAGTTTAGGAAATTGACCATGAGCCTTTATCTGTGTGAGGATGAGCAGGGTTACCCTGAAAATAAGTAAAAACACCTTACAAGGAACGAGATAAAACTAACAGAGTAGATAATAATTAAACATGGGATTACTTAGGTGAGGAACATTAAAAAGTATTTAGATTCTTGCAGTAGAGATAAAATACCTTGGTATTTTATTCAGTTAACCACCCAAGAGACTGTAACAAAATAGTCAATGTATGGAAGAGGTCAACATCAGGAACTAGGCCCATTGGTACTGATATCTACCTGTGGTGCATGTGTAGTCTATGAAGATAAGGTCAACTTAAGGAGGTGGCCAATGTAGGGTGTGGTCAACTACGCAAGTACTGCAAGTCTTTAAATACAAACTAGTGAAACTACTTGCTAAATTCATTCATTTTCCTGTAATTTTCATGTACATATTTGAGGCAGGTGATCACAAAAGATACATGTACTTATTTATGGAAAATATGTGGTCTGTTTCTTTGATTTCTAGTAATCCAAAAATTCAAAACAAATCAAAATTATTTCCAACATTTGTTTCATAAATCATAAGATTAAGTAAATAACTAAAATCATATTCATCGCTTTGGTAGATCTGAATGGAAAAGTAAACTAAGTATAACACTGAGATAGAAAAGAAACAAGCCTCAAAAGCAGTGATGAGTGAAGAAACATTTTTAAAAAGTAAATATTAATTGGTAATAAATTACTAGACACTGCGTAATTGTGTAAAATAATTTCTTTTAAAAATCCACTTAATAGAAAATTCTAGAGTGACAAATATAACTAATGATTTAATCTAAATACCTAATGGAAACATCTTACAGTCCAAAAGTCAGTTTTTTACACAACCTGATATTTTGACCAACAATAATTTAGATGTAACCAGTTTTAAATAAAATATTATTTCACATTATCTCTTTATCGTGATTCTACTCTATAAGGCAATGCAAAACTCTTGATACATGTAGTACTTGGAATATCTGAGGGAAATCACAAAATATGTTTCTCTTTACCAAGAAACTACAAAATATTCCATTTAATGTGACAAAGTATCTACTCTGTTTCTCAAGGTAGACTGACAGCATTATCTATGTCTTGAAAGCAGTTCATTGCCTGAGCCTCAATCAGTTTTTCTAGAAAAAGATAAAGAAATTCATACTCCATATGATTTCTTTTCTGTCTGATAATCATTTTTTAATATATGTAAGCCACCTAGCATGGTACAAGATGCTGGGCATATCCTTCCTCCTCCTTGTCTAACATTATTAATTAGTATAATTATATGTATATAATCATTATTCATAGTCCATCTATTCATCCAACAAATACATGTTCAGTCTCTACTTGGCAATATGGTGCATGGAAGATAAATAAGAGCTACCTCTGCTCACCGGAATTAAAAGACAGAAGGAGATAAACATACCAACACTTTTAACACATTGTTATATACACTGAGAAGAAGCTCTTCTTAAGTGTATGGGAAAAGGTGGTTAATTCTACCAGGGAGTGAGAAAGTGGAGTTCATATAAAAATTAATAGAAGAGGTGAAATTGGAAGGATTTGGGATTTGGAAACATGCTAAACAATATAAAGTCCTGTTTATTGTTCTGAGAAATTGGAATAAAAAATTAGGAGGTTGAAAGAGCATGAGAAGACCTGCATGGGAAGAGATGTCTACAGAAATAAAGTCTTAGAAAATATCTTATTTTATGGAGAGCAAATTTAATGTGGTAGATAGTCAAAAAGATTAAAAGATATCAATAGGAAAAGATGCACATGATAAAGTGCTGCTCTAGCTTATGAGAGTTGCGTTGTAGGGTTTCAGGGGTGTCATTTGTCTCATGCTTATATAGATTTATAGATTTAGCTAGTTTCTAAGGCAATGGTCAGAAAAAACACAGTGTGTTGAGGAGAGAATCTGTTTCCTTATTTGCACAAAGTAGTTATGTCAATTAGTGTGAGCTGGAAAGCACTCTCAGTTAACAATCTGAGAAATGTATGTATATATCTCATGTTGGAAATCTGATCACACACACATACATATGCATTGTGTGTGTATATAAAAGAAGAAATAAATTATGTGAAAAATCAAGAGAAAAAAATTATGGAGGTGATAATGGATTAATAGGAGATAGGCTAATGAAATAGAATAGGATTTTATCCTAGATTCGAAATGGGAGAAAAAACAAAATGGTACAAGATAATTCCCAGACCATGTTTCTTCTTTGGGAGACTTGGGAAGGGCAGAGAATAGTTCATGATGGTATTTACTGAGATATAAGAAAAATTGCATTGCCAGTTTTATGGATTCTTTATTTACTTAATTTTAGCAAAGGAAAATAAATACTGGGTTCAGTTTTGATCATGTTAATTTAGGATGTCATTTGGGTATTTGGTTGGATATGTTTAGTATTCTTTAATTTAAATTTTTCTATATGTCCTGCAAATTTTGACGAAAGTGGGCTAGACATATACATTGGGGGAAGTCCTGGGCACAATATGGGTGGAAATGGAAATCAGGAGGATGAATGAGACTACCTAGGAAGATGTGCTGAAGAAGGAAGGAAGTACAGATGGTAAAAACTATGGTCAAACCGCCCCTGTATAAAATGAGTAAAGGCCTTCACAAGGAACCGAGGAAACAAAACAAAAACATCACCTTTCTGGATCTCCTTCTGTGTCTGTGATGTAGGCAGAAATCCATCAAAGAATGCATCTCAAGTAAGAAACCAGGGTCCACAGTCAATAGGGTCATAAATTACATTGAGTAATTGGATTCCTGGGTCCACTGAATTTGGAAACAAAGGTGATAATAGTGATTTTGCCAGAGTGGTTTCCCCAGAGTTATGGGATCAAACATCTGATTTTAGGGGAAAGGAAAGAATAAGAAGTAATATTTTATGTCTAGGGTTACCATTTCATTGTTCTTGTTTTTTGGGGTTATTGTAAAATTATAATGGTCATTTCACATTCTTGAGCTCTACTATGGAAATTTTTTTCTCCTATATCTCATTTCTCTATCAGGATATGGCAATATGAATGAGCACCACAATCTGAGGCCAAATTATGATGTGTTATACTAATGTAAACCATGTGTCTGCTAATGTCAGACCCCTGAATTAAATCCAAAGATGGCCCTGACTATAATTCCAATACTCTAGCGTTTAGTGGTGTTTAAATAATAGAAGTGTTAAGTAAGGGCTTAAATTATGTTTCTAACTTGAATTAGTAAAGATTATAGAAATACAAACTTTTCCACTATTTTAAACCACATGCTTTAAAATAAATGAAGGGAAGAAATCAACCACATTTAAAAGAAGCTTTCTTTTGATATCAATATCTCAATATCAAAAGAAGCTTTCATATGATCACAATAGAAATGAAGTACATTTAAAAGTGGCACTATTATTATGAAAATAAAATACAGAAGGGACTAAAATCCAGAGTTAGAGAGGGGTTTAAGATGGTACGTTTTTAAGGTTACAAATCAAGGTTAGCAATTACTGCTTTTTTATTGCTTCCTAAGCTTGAGAAAACTAATTTCTTAAGTGGTAGATGTACATAAAACATCTAAGGCCATGCGATTTATATGAAATTACCTATTATTCAGACCCTAGACATGTATTTTACATTTCTGAATGTATGAAAAACACGAAGGTATTACTTCCCTGTTGAAAATCATGAATATGAATGGCTTATTTAAAATACAATATATTATTGAGTATTATTTTCATAGCAATGTTTCAAAGCAGCATGTTAACAAGCTTCAAGTAGTTCAAAATCAGGGGGAAGAGAGAGTGTGCTATGCCTGACACCAAAAAGAAATTTTTGCTTCTGTTTCCTTTTCTTTTCCTGAACAGCTCTTGTGCCAATTAAACTCCAGCACATGAGATTCTAATCGTAAAAGCATGTTCGAAGATGGAAAACAAACAAACAGAAAGACCACCAGAAGAATCATGGCTTTATTATTTTTTTAAATAAAACTATTCAGATCAATGCCAATGGTGAAATAGATTCCCTAAGTTGTTTAGTTATTTCTTAAAAGATAAAGGTTCGTCTGCTCAGAATGCTGTATTCAGGTTTGTCAGAAAAATTTACCCCTCTGGCTCTACTTTATTTAAAATTTTGGTCTTTTAATATACTTGTAAAATTTATTTTTAAATTTCCATACAAAATTTAGGACTTTCTGTGTCTCGTTTTCTGCTTGTGCTACTACTTTGTAGTCAGCACTCTGTCTATATTCTCATTCTTTGTCCCAGGCAAGTGCTGGTCTCCTCTTCATCCAGCAGTGTTCAAGTAAATATTTAACTACTGCATATAAAAATAAATGTGGGCACAGACATTAGTGCATTCAATTATGATAAGCTGTGTTAATACAAAACATGACAGACACAATTTATTATTAAGTGTTGTAAATTTCATCTAGACAATTGGTTCTCACCAATGATTTTGTTGATTTTTGTTGCACTCTTACCTCTGAATCCACATTGTGGTAATAATTTTTGACATGTTGGTTGGTATTTTAATTTAGGTCATGAGTAAGATACAAAT